CAAGTCTATATAATGAAATTTCTTATAGAAGACAAAGGGAAATGGCCAAAAAAACCAAAAACCAAAAAACACACACAAAAAAACCGGCAGTGGTAACGTTTTGTGTATTTTTTAAAAAAATAATTTAACGCCTTGTAAGTCCATATTGTTATTCTCAAAACAGCCACTTGTTTAGCCGGAAAAAAAAAATAATATAGTTGGTAACAGACATAATTACATACTTCTAAAACTGGCAATATGTATAGAGATCTATAAGGTATGTGAAATATTAAGGCTTCAACTAATGTTCCAAATAGACAATTACAATAGTCTTACACTACTACGACTCTTTCTTGGATTTGGATAAAGTTGATTAAAGTTCTGGCCTCACAACAGTGATGTGGAATAGTAGTCCCAGACAATACTTGGCTATGAAATGGTTCTATCCTCAAAACCAGAAATACAAAGGAGTCCCACTGTGTTTCTCTCTCCAAGGTCTGTACCACTGGATTGCATCCAAAAGGTAATATCTCATAATCTTAAATGCTGTCCAAATTTTAGAACTCTGGTTTTGTTCAGACCACACTTTAATGCTTCCATAAAATTACTTCAGTTTTATCAAAGTAATAATTGTGGATATACGTATTAAAAATGTGAATTAAAAACTTATTTTCCATATTAGGAGTCTGTCATTATTAAATTATAATGATTTGAGAAACAAAATATGCTCAAACTGGTGATTGGTGGGTGGTAGTTTTGATTTACTATGTTTCTAGTGGAGAAACTTCTTTTATAGAATTCATAAACTATGAAAATGCAGTTAAAACCTTCAGTAAAAATTAACTTAATATTTTAAACAAATGTTCCAACTAGGTTATTAGGAACATTTATTAAGTATTATTTGCTATGTTTGAGCTCCTGATAACCAATTTCCTGGTCTACTTACTATAATTTCAGTAACTGCTAAATTTTTTTCAAATATGTTTTACTTGTTTTAAATTTTTAGCTTCTGAATTTCCCCAAATTCAAAGAGATGACACATATTTGCTAACACTGTTATTCTACTGTTTCCATTGAAATATATGTGTCAGTTGCCTTAACTGTCATTAAATTACTTAAATGGCACAGTATTTTAAAGTGCATTATGGAATTTTAAGGCTATATTTATAACAGAAATGAACATAAAACAATAAAGCTGAGACCACAGGGAAAATTAAATAGTTGAGATAAGTTTTAGCCACAAATATGGAAGTATAAACTTACAATCCAATGTGAAGACTCACATTAAGGCATACGTGCAGCTTGCTTACAAAATTAAAATCTAAAATGACTTTTGGCTTGAATTTTCTTATTTTTATACTTAATGAAGTATACCAATTAATGTTATTTAGGTCACTAATTTTTTCTATAACTATAAATTTAACAGGAAGCATAAAAGTCTCATGTTAAAAACAATTGCATTTAACAAGGGAGAAGCTGAATTGATATCCTGGCAGATGTACTCTAACTTGACAAAGGTCCAGAAGGAATGCTGATGCTTTGCACATGCCACAGTGAGTTTTTTCAGCCCCTCCTGTCTTTCCTCTTTCTCTTTTAGGGAAGAGGAGTAGTTAGAACAGCAGAGGTATGGAGAAAAATGAGGTTGAGGAAGGATACCAGGGCCTGCAAACGATGACAGTGGTTTGTAGGTATTTTAGGGGAGGACTGGGTCATATATTTGGGTGATAGGATTGAAAGATAAAGGGACTCATGATACAGTGGTGGCACGGAACAAAGAATTTCCTGGCAGGCTCCACTGAATCTTGATACCACAGCAGAGAAAGTACAATTAGAGATATCATGTTGTAACCTGACTGGTGTTTAATTATCTTTGATTGTTTTCCTGTCTGTGTTACTCTTAGGATACAGTAACTCCTATCAGAAAATCAAGGTGGTGGCAACAGGACATTGCTTGGACTGAAAGGTTTGACTCATCTTCTCATCTTATTCCACGTACAGAAATTCCTAAGGAATTGTTAGGATTCATTGTAAAAGGAAAGTTTCATGTTATTCCATAATTTTTAATCCTCCCACCAAACCTTACATAATCGAGTTTATTTTTCTATGTATTATTGTGGACATCTAATAATTGCCATCATATTGCTTCCTACTTTTCACAATGGCATAATTAACTTCCTCTGTGGAACAACATGCATAAACATGGATAGTGCTTTAAAAAATGTGATGAACATCATGAATTTGGCTTGAGTATTTCATTTAAATCCCTCAGGTTTTAAAACTAGGCAATCCAGAAATCAATTCATCTTTCTCACATAATTTGACAGACATCTCATCACGTTTTATTTTTATTAGAAAAAGATTAATTTATTAAGTATTGGCAAGGTATTTATTTGGCTAATCAAGTAGGGAGGAAATTACCCTTCACATGATGCTTTTCTTTAAAAATTATGCACTTCTGCACAATTTTTCTTTTTATCCAAAAAAAGTCTCAAATACATTATTTCTATGATCTCATTTTTCCTGAAAATACATTAAAATATTTACTGCAAATACCTTGTAAAAAACAAATTTAAAAACTTACAGAAATGTTCACACAAGGTGTCAAAAATATATGCAAAAGGGTCTTCACTGATGCTTTGTTTGTAATAAAGAAGTGAAAACAATCTTGATGTCCATTCAACAGGGGACTAATTAAGCAAATTTAAGTATACCCTGCAATGGGCTATGCAGTATTTTACAAAAGAATGAGGTAAATCTACTTACTATAATGGAAAGGTGTCCTACCAATATATATTAAAATAAAAAAGAGTCACAGCACAGTAAGAATATTATTATTCCATTTGTATAAAACTAACACACACACACATTTATCTGTATATTTGTAGAAAGTGTCAGGAAGGACACATACCAAACCATTAACAGTGGTTACCTCTAGAAAATAAGGGATGGGGTAAGCAGGAAAAAATTGTATTTTATAATTATATATGGTTTAATTTTTTTAAGGAGTATATATTACATTTATAATAAAAACATATAAAAATGACAAGCCTTGGATAGATATTTATATTATGTGCATGCTTCTTTACTAAAGTAGTTTTTAGAAGTTATCTCAAAAGTTACTACTATTGTTTTACCTTCAAAGTTGGCACTGACATATAAATAATCCTTTATATTTTCTTCTCTTTTTAAGATCTTGATGAAACTTTGTAAAAAAAAAAAAAATCACAAATAATTAAGTTACCAGCAGGGAAAGGCCTAATATATATCAACCTTTAAAGAAAAAAACTGCATACATTAATTTTTAAAAAATCTATGCAATAGGAAAATAAAAACCCTGTGCAATACAGTGCACACTACTTCAAGCATTGATGAAACAGCCTTCACTGATAACAGATACAATTTTCTAACTGGGATATTGGAAAGTTTTCTAAATAATATAAAAATACCTTCAAAAGATAAGTTATTTAAAGAAACGAATACAAATCCCTGAGTAGGCCAAAGAGAACAGATACAACAACCTAAGAAAATAGATTATCTAAGATCAGAGAGTATATTATTCAGCCAGTTGGTATATTTCTATATGGCGTATGTATTGATATGCAGTTATGGAAATATTTTGCATATGATAGCAAACATATACAGATCCTCTATATTTAGAATTCATCATATTCACATATTGCCAAACTAATGCCTAATTCTAGGAAAGATGAATTTACAAAAATTAAGCACTTTTATGTCACAAACACATTTATGAGAGCACTTCAAAAAGTTTATGAAAAAATAGAATTAAAAGATAATAGGAATCTTTCCATGAACTTTTTGAAGACCCCTTGTATTTAGGCTAAAAATTCTCATTCTTCTGGTCTTAATACTAGAGCACCTAAAACAGGCACTCAATAAATATTTACTGAAAGGCTTGATAGTTGAATGGAAAGATGAATTTGTGAAACCAGAGCATCATTTTTCTTGTATCATATTATGCTTTAGAAAAATGCTATTCCAGAGCCATAAATGTCACATACTCCTAATACTGCAAACAGACAACAAGTCCAGAAGCTGTAGGATAGCTATTCTGTGTTATTTAGAAAGAATGAAAGCATGTTGACTTGTTATCTATGCAAGTAAACTTCATTATCATGGACTTTTTAGGTCAAACAAAAATGGTAAAATGTTCTTACATTCTGTAACCCAACAAAGACAAACTATCCATGTTAATGCATGTTTTGTTATGTAATCTATTTCAAGTTGCTGAAAAATAAATGCTACATCTATGGCAAATAGCTGATTTTAAGAATCTGTAGACAACTGGAAACTTAAGGCTTGTTAGGGGTCTTTTCTTCCTTTCTACTAATGAACTTTTATGATGAAAACAAAGGAATATTATAGTTTAATTACTTGTCCTTTCCTTATTTTTAAAGACTTTTCAGTATCGTAAAACTTCCTGAAAATATTTCCTTCATTTTTGTTTCCTTTTCCAAAATCAGTTTATATTTTAGAAAAACCCATAAACACAAAAAGTTTTCAAGCTACCCCTCTATAAGAAGATACCAGTAAGTTATTATGCATTTGAGCAGTAAACATTAAAAAAATCCTCCACAACTAGCATTTGTTTTTATGAAAACCTTGGTGACAAATAGAGAAAAAAGAGGACAGGGAAGAGAGTGGGATATTAAATAAAGTAAAATCTTGACCTAAAGCAGAATTATCTGTAATTACAAGTTGGTTAAAAAACTAGCAGAAGAGGGATTTGTTTAAAAACTTAAGCAGTTCTTTCTTCAGCAAACTTGTTCTTTGGATTAAATAATCCCATATGAAGGATTTATCACAGAGTAAAACATGTATGCCAAAATATAAAAAATCTGAAAAGACTGAATATCTGGGTCTTGAGAATTTCCTAAGAAGCCTATCAGTTTTGTCAGTTTACAAAGCTTGATATGTCTTGAGGTGATGCTGCAAATTCTGCATGTGTATGACAAAAAGAGAGAGAGCAAGAAATAGAAAGGGTCAACATTGAAACAGCCTGTTGTCTACATTGACTTTAATTCAGTACATTACCAAATTGTGCCCACAAAGGAACCATCATTTTTAAATAGGTTTGTGAAAATGTGGAAAAATAGCGTAGAGGCTTGGAACTAGATAAGTACAAGGTTATTGGGCCTAGTTTTAACATATATTTATCTATAAACACGCACATTCACACCCTTACACATAAACACTTCAGTAACTCATGATTCTTCTCAGTAATTTAGTTTCATTAGTTCCCTTTTGGGCATTGAGCTTTTTAGCAATTATAGCATTTGAGGAATTATACTGCTTGGGCCACAGATAAAAACAGGCGTATTCGGTGAACTTTTATCTTCTGAAAAGTGGCCTTATTTGTTGACACTAATAGGACTTCAGGCACTCACACCAAGCTTCAAAAGATGACTTGGAGGGAGGTTCAGGTTTCAAAGACAGTCCAAGCAATGCTCAGGAGAGGTGTGCTCAGAACAATTCTAAGGATAACTGGTTCTTAAAATATTTTCTTCCAAGAACCACAAAGGTCAGAGTTATGATACAGATGTTTATAGTTTACGAAAGTGACCATTATTCAAAAGCAGCAATTCGTTTAGGGAAAGGACATGATACCATGTTGGGGGTGCACCGTAGCTAGAGGCATCGTGGCTTGCAGAGAACCACGGGGAGACGAGATGGCAGAAGGTTCCTTTCAGTGTTTTTCAAGATGTGACTCACAGACAGGTGTACCATTCTGGACAGCTCCTACCCAAACTAGCTGAGATAGATGAAATCATCTGCATTTTACCAGTGCATACCTGTCCGTGATCGTTTTCTCTGTTTTTTACAAAGGCAATAGATAGGAAATACAAATAAACCTAAGAATGAAAAAAAAAAAAAAGCTGATTAGGATGAGATATTTACACTCATATTTACTCTATGGCCCTCAGAAAATTCGAATTTCAAATACATTAAATGTTTCTTACCAATTACAACTGCTATGGCCCCTAGCGCTAATCCCAAAACCAGGATTAGAGGTGCGATGAATAATTTTCCAGCTGGAAAACAAAAGGCAAAATAATTTAAAATCTCAGAACAAATTTACCAAACAAGTAGAGCAATACTTTTTAAATACCATAGTGTATATTATTTTTTAAGAAGTCTGATTACAATTAAGGCTATATTTCTCTAATGTATCTGGTGTAGAACAGAAATACACATATAAATTCAGTAACTTCACTGAAGTCCTGGCACATGCATTAAACATCTCATAAATCATTTTCCTTTATAACCAAAAAAAATTCCAAAGTGACTGGCTCACTTTATTCTACCAGGACCATTCATCTCTGTGCTTTTCCTTTAGATCTTTTCCATTTTCAATTTTCAAGATGCTGAAAGAGTAAGAAAGGAGTGATATATTTTGAGTTGGCAGGAGAAAATCTAGTTAGCTCTCAAAATGGAGAGCTGGCGGGTACTACAGAGGGCTTCTGTCCAAGCCCACATCTAAAAAAGTGGTTTATTTACTACCTGGATCCAAAAAAAACTAATAATATGAATGCCTGATAGACTGAACTACAAATGGGATGTTTCAAGACTATCGTTAGAGAAAACTGCTATTAAATATATGGTATGTCAAAAGTTATTCAGGTGAATCAGTTTAACAAATTTAAGAAGGAAGCACTTATACAATAAGAAGGCTAGATGCTGGTAAGGATGCCAAGTGGCATTGTCCAGCATTTTCTTTTCTAAATGAACAAGTAGGCAGTGATAATAATAAACTGTAGCCATATGTAAACATTGCACAAAGTCCACAACTGGAAACCCACTGACTTTGAAAGACACAAGCACAAAATTAAAAGAGGGTAGTAATTAATATCTTGTCACTGTATAGTAACCTTAAGGCATGTGACACGACTGTAGGACCACGCAACACAAAGCCAAGAAGAAATGTGAAAGGAACAGAGGGACTTTGCAGTAGAATCACATAGCATTTAAGAATAAACCAGTAAGACCACTCTATAAATTAAGGGGTTTGGGAATAACCAACTACAGAAATGAAGTAGAAACATAATGCAGCCATTTTGGGGAAGTTTGTCAGAAAATTAACTTTTTTATTTCTTTTTGTGGCTGGACGGTATGGGGATCCGAACCCTGACCTTGGTGTTATAACACCATGCTCTAAACAACTGAGCTAACTGACCAGCCCTACTTTTTTATTTTTAAGAAACGGTCTTTGGAACCAGATGACCAGACATGTATAAAATATAGATTTTAATATTTAATTTAAAAAGATCACCACTCAATTCATACAATGTCTTAGCATGGATTTTACTTTTATTTTTTACCAATGATAGAATACAATGAACTAATATTAAATCCCATTGAACGATTATGTTTAGTCCACTCTTAAAGCTATGCTCAAGAATTTAGACTATATAAAGCTTGCATATTTTATTTTTCTCCTATATACATAGTCTGGTCATTCAAATTTGCTTTTTTAATAATTTTCAATATATTTCCATAATAGCAATGAAACATGACTGTAAAATAACAATGCTGATTTTTTTCTCTCAAACATCACAGAACTCTAGGAACCAGATCTGTGCTCTCTCTCTTTGGGAAGTAATAAACTTATTCCAATTAGGTAATCTATATTCAGAACATGTATAAGTCTACTTTTGAAACTGTTTTAGGGGATTAAACAAGCTTTCTCTTATTCCTAGGTCAGTAATAATTCTTGTAAAACACCTTTGTCAATAGCTAAAATAATATTCTAGCATATCCTTTAGCATATCTTATTTAAATAATCCTATAAACGTTTGTTCCTTTTTTTACTATTTTAAATTATTCTTGCACATAAACCATTCAGTCTACCTAGATTTATCATGTTTTTAAATGTCCTTCATATTACTATAAAATTTCTTTGCAAAAGAATTATACAAATTTTTCAATTCATTGAATAGAGTATGAAAGTCCATCAGTAAGAATTAATTTGACAAAATATTTGCTAATCAACAGTCCAAAAGAATCTCATTTTAATTTACATTTCTCTGACTACTAACAACATTAAATACTTATGAACATGTTTAGTGGCTATTTGTACTTCTTCAGTTCTGATTTTTTCTTTTGATAAAAATTGGATATTTATTTTTGCTATTTATTGCTTTTATTCATATACATTATCTGCCATCTGGAAATCAGTTAAAGACCCATATAACTTGGTTTGAAACTTTGAATCCTTGTATGGGATAATATGAAAATTAAAAATTTTTCCTTAGCTACTTTTTTCCCAGTACCATTTATTAAGGATTCTGCCTACGCCCTGCAGGCAGATGGCTCCACATCAGAGGCTGCTAATCACCCCCAAATCTCTGTTCTCCCTTATTCTCTGTGAGCAGAACCTCTGCTCTCTAGCTGAGTGCACGGTCACATGGAATGAAGACCACCATGTTTCCCATCCTCCAGCTGTGAGAGAGATGAAGGCCCCTTCTCTGCCTCTGGCCAAGGACATGTGCAGTCCAAGACTGAGGGAGCAATCTAGGTTACATCACACAAGGACAGTGTGTGGGAGGGCCTCCTATGATACGAGGGTACTTTGAAAAGTTTGTGGAAAAATAGAATTAAAAGATAATATGAATCTTTCCATCAACTTTTTGAAGACTGCTTGTATATCTTCGCTCTTATATGGCAGGGAGTAAGTAATTGTGTGAGTTACAGACTAATCCCTTTTCCTGCCTTTTGTGGGGATGAGAGAGGTGGTGAGCACTCCACTTCGAGTTATGGTCTAATAGTAGTTAGAGGCAGCTGTGCTGGAGGTGGGAAAATCTGTGTGGGAGGGAGAGCTTATCTTAAAGCCAGCTGCTCCCTACTTTGTCAGCTTTATCCTGACATCACTGTATGTGCACACGTGTGCGTGCACACACACACGGACTAGAAGATATGCCAAAAAGAGAACCATTTACAGAAAGCTGGCCATAAAGCTTTTGATTAAGAGGAAAACAGAAAAGACTACAGAGAAAATATTTCCCGGTTGACGATGTCTATGGGCTCTTAGCTTGCCATCCATTTTACAGGCTGCAAAATAACTCCACTCTATTTTTTGGCCAAAGGAAAGGATTCTAGGGGCACCTAGGCAAATAGCCAGAGAATCCAAAGAGAATACATTCAAAATGTCACTGACAAATAAGGCAGGAAATACCTTCCCTCTTTTAAAAATGACTACACAGAAAAAAAAGAAAAAAAGAAAAAATTATATAAAATAAAGAATGGAAGGAAACAACTTGCCACACCAAAATCCATGTGGCATTAAAGTAGGAAAGAAAAAAAAACTAAGAATGCAGAAAATATAAACGTTTTGTGGTTTGGGGTTGCACTCTGTATATACAGACTTACAAATAGGTTACAGCTCAAAACTTGATTTGCAATTAGTTTTCTCATGGTACTACTGTTATAAGTACGGTTTAGAGTCCCTAGGTATCCTGCCAAAGTCTGCTCAACCAGTAAGTAAATATTGGTTATACAATTACAATATCTACCATACAGGCAAATAAAGAAACAGAAAACACTGAAAATCACTAAAACCTGTCTTGACTATTGAATGCTGGCTGTGGAAAATTATGTTTAATTAAATAAAGTTCAGTAAGAATATTTTTATAGAAATCACATAAGATTTTAGAAAATTATGGCACTAGTTTCCATATGTTAAAATGCATTTAAAAATATACATTCTATCTTTTACCTAATAGAAACCTATCATTAGTACCAGACTTGATCTGATAGGCCGTCACAGGATTCTAAGTAGGAGTGTAGTTCACAACAGTCATGAAGTGTCAGAGGGCTAAGGAGAGATATAAAGAGATTTTTATAAAGTAACTAGGCAAAAGTAAGTGGATAAGGGGAAATGTGGAAGATGTGAAAAAGTATTGTGTATACATGACAAAGATTGCCAAAGAAAGAAATAATAGAGTTCTCCATGGTGAAAAAGAGAGGAAGAAATTTCACAGTGGATACATTCCAGAGGAACAGGGAGCTATCAGAAGATATATTAGGTCAGAAGAAAACTGTATCACCCAAAGGGGGTGGCATTAGGCCAGAACAACTTGATTATGAGCAGGTATCTGTGTTTAGGTCTGCATATTTGTATGAGTATGTGTGGGAAGGAGTAGTGTATGAGGCTGAGGAGGAAGTAAAAAGTCAATACAGAAGGGCATTTACACTTGGATAATTAAACTTGAGTTTGTATGCAATGAAAGCATTTGATACTCATTCCATTAATTGCTAGCCATTAATTATTAATACTATAGAAAAGTATATACAATGACTTATCAATTACATAGATATAATGAAACCCCATTACAGGGCTCTGCAACATGCATATAGTTGATTTTGCCTTTCTAGACTATGTTCCATGCTGTATTGTATTGCATGTCCTCCATGAACAAATAGAGGACACGTGTAAAACATGCTGCTAGACACTGTCCATACAAAAATAAATGACATTGTCCCTCTTGTCCAGTGGCTTACAATGTGGTTTCAGAAATTTAAAAGATTTCTGCTATGTAATTAATAATTTCCTTTTCAATCAAAATCTGCTTGCTCATGTAAGTAGTGTTCTGCTAACAAACTTAATTTTGACCTCAAAGGGACAGAGAATATCCTCCCCCTGTTTTGGGGTAAAGGCCCTACTAGAATACATGGCACATAGCATGTGCTCAGAATTATCATGGCTGTCACATTTTTAAGTTCTATTATCACTACTTAATTCCCAGAGAAGACTCCTCCTATATGCATGTCAGATACTCACCACAGACCGACCCTCGCACTAATCTCCTTAAATGAGGTCTCTCTGGGAGGTAGCGGTATTTGCATCCAAATATACTGAGGTTTGATGTGTGGTCTCCAAAGAAACGGAGCTGGCGGTATCTCTCCCCACACCGATAACAAAAATTAGTGTTACATTGTGAACAGGTCATATGGTCACATCCTTCAGTTCTCTGGATGTGGATCTGTATCAGCAAAAAAGGGAAAGAGAAAGAAAGTTATTAGATTTAAAAAAATAAAATCTGGCAAATTTCATGGAACACAAGCTTTACCAAAATAAAAGTCTCACATAGCATTCCTGAGGCTGTCAATTTGCTTATAATTATACCCTTCAAGATTATATTCTTACCAAATACTTTCCTGTGTGCAATGCTTAATATATTTTTAGGTACTCAAGCTGATGGTTTACTTTGACCAATATAAAAAACACTTCCCAAGGAAGACTCATTTGTCTTTCCAGACATACACCTAACTGATGGTTAGGAGGCAATTTAAAATGCTGTGAAAGGATATTTTGTTTATGCTACAATCAGCAAGAATGAGGTGGCTTGGGGAAATAAGAAGAGATGAGTATTCCTTAAAAGAAGGAATTGTGTAAAACTTTTTGTAAATAAATATCAAGGAGTAGAAACCTTTTTGCTGAAGACAGCAGATATAAGTGTATTTACAATACCGATTTAGTTTCTAGCTCTAATATCATTTGTAAATACATTGTTTACTGAACTGGACAATGCCATCTGTGCAGCTAAGCACCTTCTTCTATTGTTGCAGTCAAACTACCTATAAATACAGCTTCACTCATAATGTAAGAAAGATTTTTTTTTTCCTTTTTGTCTTTTTTTCGTGACTGGCAACGGATCGCAACCCTCAGTGTCGCGCCCGTACCAGACCGGGACGGCCACGGGATCGCAACCCTCGGTGTTGCTCCCGCCCCTCGCTCAGCCAGTGAGCGGCCGGTCTGTATGTGGGATCCGAACCCTCGGCGGGAGCGCCACCGCGCTTCCCAAGCGGCGCACTATAGCAGTGCGCCACCGGCCGGCCCATAAGAAGGATTTTATTCTTGGATAGTCCTCCATATAGCCAATGTGATAGTCACTGTCTCAAGCTCTGAGATCATGTAATAATTAAGATATTACTCTTGGAGATATAATTAGATGCTCAACTCAAAATTCTCACAGACATTGTATATAAATTGGATATACAAGTGTGTATATATACACACACACATATATATATATATATATATATAATTTGATATATATACACACACACACACACAAGTACATCAAAAAGTTTATGGAAAAATAAAAGAGAATATGAATCTTTCCATAAACTTTTTGAAGTACCTTCATACACACACACACACTCATATATATACACACACATAGATATATATACACACACACACCTACTCATATATATATATATATATATATATATGAGTTGTTTGCTCAGAAATTTACTTAAAATGTTCCCATACCATTTTGACCATGATACTGTTTTGGGACTAGTTTGTCAATGACTGTTTTAATGCAATTGGGAACTTTACAATTAGCACGTGAGTCAAACCCTTCAGTGGTTATTTGACTCTTGTCAGTTAAGCTCTGGCCACAGTCCACAACTTTACATATTTCATTTGAAATTATTCTTTTCTTTCATTGATACACAGTTTACTTCTTCAAACTTCTGCAGTAGTGCAGTTATAACTGCATTAAAAAAAACTGATCAATGATTATGGAGATGGGATAAAATCATCCCAAAAAAAGAGAACTCTGAGGAAAGAGAAATAAAAAGCTTGAGAGATGAAGAAAATTATCCACTTCACAATATAACCTTATTTTATATGTTTTGAGAATAAACATTTTGAAGTTGTGAACTCCAAATTATACCCAATATTTCAGTTTTAGTGATTAAATAACCAAAATGTTAAACTGCAGTTTTAAAGGAATTTGAAAAGAACTTGTGAGGCTCCTTGTAAAACAGCAACAAATAGTAATGGTAAAAGTTTCATTTGAAAAATACACGTTTCTGTGAATCAATCAATCTAATTTATCTTTCTATCACCTATCTTCTATCTATCTAATTACCTACATATCTGGAGAGTTTCTAGGTGACTGTAACAATTTTGAAGAAGTAATATTTAAATAGAAGGCAGCATATGATAGGCAAGCACTTAATACATGGATAAACGAATGAACCAGGAAGAAAAATTTGCCAAGTGGTTAGCAGGACTTTAGGTATTCAAAGTCATTAGGTGAATCGTAAGTTAAATGTCCTTTCTCTCTCAGTGGCTGACTGACTCTTGGCAGGTAAACCTCAGCTCCATAGGGAGGCTGAAAAGAACCTGGTCTTTGATTTCAAGAAGATCTGCTAGCTGTTTAAAAAGAAGTTACTTCACCCCTCCCAAGCTTCGATTTAGATAATACCCCTTACTATGTAGTGTAACAAAGACAATATGTATACAGTGCCTAACTCGTCAGGCTCATATAGATCAGACCAATATAAAATTGGTTCCAATGTACTCTTTCCTCTTTACCTAGCTAAAAATGTGAGAAATTGAAAGCCTAAGTAACGTAACTGCAAACCTTTTGATTGCCAGGTGGTTCCCTTTCTCACTACTTCATATAGGTTATTCTGAAGTAGATGCTGGACTAGAGAGAGACCTTCTCAGACAGACAAAAGCTAGCTTGTGGTCAAGGACATAAGAGCACCTGTGGTCAAGGGTTATTAACAAATCATGATTTGGGCAATAAAAGCAAAACTTATGGCAACCTTATTCTTTTTCAGTCATACTGAGTTATTTTTTCTTTTACATGACAGTCCAGTAGCAGTAGATCCAGGTTTTACGGAGCCCGGGGGCTATCTAATTTGAGGAGCCTTCTTTAAGGAGAAGAATGTAAATTATAAATACAAATTAGATATAAGACCCAAGAAGGGGCCTGTGTAGGTGAGGGTCTTGGAAGCTTAAGCTCGTTAGTATTCTGTTAAGTCAGCCCCTAGCCCAGCACTTACCCTGTGCTGTGATTTCAAGAAGCCTGTTTATCAACAATTACTGTGGCCATATCCATTTAGCAACAGTAGGTGGCGTTAAGGAATAACAAAGGCCGAAGGCCCTGCTGGACCCTTAAACCGTTTCTGATCTTTCTTTAAACCACCTGAGCACTAGGAGAAAACATGTTTGAAGATAACTGCCGAGCACCCAAAACACTGTATACTTAACTTTTTGACTATATATTTTATCTTAAAATGGATATAATACAACTTAAATTTCCTGATAACATAGCAGTGTCATAGGTGACCTATAAAGGGAAGAAGGCTAATATTTGTTTAGAGCCCATTACGTGCCAAGCACTGTACATCGATTAGCACGTTTAAGCCTCATAAGTGCACCATGAAATTGACATTCTTATTCATAACCAGAGCTTGGAAAAGAATCTGTTTGAATGACAATCCCAGTGAATGGAAAAAGGATTTTGAAGTCACATCTCTTTACTGTGCTAAGCAGCCAATTATTATGAACTTAGGGTAAAACCTGAAAGTCAGTCATATTCTTTGCTAGCCTATGACTCACCTTCTGGTCTTACCCTAAATTCAGCATAATCTTTACACTAGTCAGACAAATATGTCGGCTCTCTTTGCACAAGGCATATCTGAGTCTTTCTGCTTATTTCTGCTATTCTCTGGACCAACTTTCATTCTTTCAAAATGGCATCAAAAATTTTTCTGACAGAAACTTGTTCTAATAAGTTAAACTTGTGACTGACAATTTATTTGCCTCAAAATTTCACATATGATTTTCACTGTCATTTTATATGCACTTGTAATACTGCCTTCACAGGGTTCTAAACTCTTTGTGTGGCCTATACATTATTTCATTTAAATAATGAAGACTGCAATTTCTCATCTTTCTCTTTTAAGTCTTTCCTTATTACTAATATAATATTCTGAGCACAGCAGGCAACTAAAATGTTGTTGATCAAATAATATTTCTGCACAGAAAGTGATAAAATTGTAAGCCCTAATAATTTTGTATAGTAGCCTTGTATATGGCAGGGTTATATGGTTCTATAGATAAATTGGAATATTTTGCACACATAAAGGCAAGGAATTAATCATAGTAAAATGATATCATAATTTACTAACTGTAAAGTACACAGTGCTTCCTTTAATACTATTGTGAATATATCTTGATTATATATGAATATTTTATTATTCAAAACTTACAGAGAAATGAACCAGCAAAATGCAAGTTAATGTGCAACAGGAGACATTACTTTTCACATTTGCTAAGCAAGTTGTGATTTTGAATTTCTAACAGCCAGGGGATAATAAATTTCATATGCTAAATGAATTCTCAAGTATGTCTTTAAAGGTCACACTTTGACAACACCATCTTTGTTTGTAAAACATAAGACCTTAAAACATAGGTCTAAATCATGTTTACATAAAGTTAATTTTTTCCTCAGTGAAGCCGTTCTTACTTTTTATTATAGCTTCAAAACATTCATCAATTCACTTCTGCTAAAAATCAAACTAACCACCCACATGGTTACAACTTAGCATCAAAATTTTGTTTTTACTTAAAAGATAGAGGCAGACTACGACAGACCAGGTATTTCTAACCCATTTGATTAAGCTGACTACTCATAAGACACAAATGTCATTTGATTTATTATTACATAGTTCCTTTTCTCCATCTATAACAAATAGGGATGGCTAATGCTTAAAGAATTGAATATTTATGCACCAAATGTTGCTTCTATTATTCTACACTTAAAAGTCATGGAATGAAATGTTCAGAATATGCCAGGTATTTCCTTAACAAGAGTTTGATATTAAGTCCATATTATAGAAGAGAGCAATGATACAACAGATCATTTTTGTGTCTTACAATACTCTTCATAGTATAGATCAAGACCTGTGATAACAGACTAATCAACTAATTAATGTATTTATATACATAAAAATAAATACAGATAAATAAAATAGGACCTGCTCTTTTCAAGTTGCTTGTTTATTTCAACAAAATGCCCACAAATTATCTAAAAAATAGAACTAGAATTCAGCTTTTTTTTTTCCATATAGGTTCTACTTAATCATAAAGTAGAAGAATAATAAACTGCTAAATATCCAAGCCACTTTATAATTAAATCAGTACACATCTGTCCATAAGTATTTATCTCCA